GCAGAAGACCCCTACATTCTGATCTATTTCAACATACCTGTCATGAGGTTGTATTAAGGAATCCTGTACATGTGGAATAGGCATGTAAGGTTGTAAATCTTTATTTTCTTGGCAAGCTTCATTATGACTTCGTAGAACATCTGAAAATAAATCAAACAAACCTACAAATCAATCAATTACTTGATATCAGTGCAGTTTATGATACAATGATTGTTCTAAAAATAGTTGAGATTTGTACAAAAACCATACCTATAATCTTTACCACCATATCATACATTTGCCTTGTTTCCTCTTCCTCTTTTGTCCAGCGGTATTTCATGTAACGCAGAACAATGCAAACCATCGCTACACCTGCAACATTCATACATTTCATATTCTAAAAACTGCAGTTTTTATAGTGATCATTTTAACTTCCAAACTCAGTTGAATTAGCTACATAGCTGAAACCACATACAATAATTTCATATTAAACATTTTTCCAGAGTTTTATTTCTCTCTAGAAAAAAATTCCTTTCATTATGTTCACAACTAAACATTTAAATTTTAAGCTACTTTTTAAAAATAAACTATGTTTGACAAGCTTTTTCCTTTGAAGCATTAAACCACTAAGAAAATGTGTCTCATAAGACTAAACACTGCAGACTTTGTGATGTATCAGGTTAAGAGCCTGGAATCTCTTCTGCTTCCAGTTTCCTGTTGATGTGCATCTTGGGAGGCAACATGGATGGAGTTCCCTGTTCCTGGCTTCATTGTGGTGCAGCCCCCATTTTGCAGGACCCGTTGGAGAGTGAACCAGTAGCTGGAAACTCTCTCTCTCTCTCTCTCCTCCCTCCCTCCATTTTTCCCTCCCTGTCAATCTGCCTTTCAAATAAATTTAATAAATAAATATTAAAAAAAGAGAACTAAACATACTAATTCTTTACATAAACTGAATTATTTTTACATGACCAGGAAAAAAGAAGAGTGACTAGCTCCTAAATTCCTATTATCATTCAAAAACTTGTGAAATCTAGTAGCTTCAATGAAAATTTTAATTCAGGTAAGCAGTATTTTAAAACTTTTAGTGAGATTAATTTATAATATATATGTGTATATATAAATACATGTCTTTTTTAAAAATATTTTTTCTTTACTTGAAAGGCAGAGTTACAGGGGTGGAGGATTTGGGGGTGGGGGTGGGGCTCCTCCATCTGCTGGTTTACTCCCTAGTGACCATAACAGCTGGGGCTGGGCTGGGTCTAAGTCAAGAGCCTAGAACTCTTTCAGGGAGTCTTCCATGTACGTGGAAGGGGTCCAAGCACTTGGGCCATCTTCTGTTTTCTCAGGCACATCAGGAGGGAGTTGGATCAGAAGTGGAGCAGCCAAGACTTGAATCAGCACTTACACAAGATGCACAGTGGGCGGCTTAACCTGCTACGCCACTATGCTGGCCCATATAATCTTACTATTTTAAAAATAAGCTAGTCTCAAAAGGACAAGTATCATGGCTGGTGCCTCGGCTCATTTGGCTAATCCTCCGCCTGCGGCGCCGGCACCCCAGGTTCTAGTCCCAGTCGGAGTGCTGGATTCTTTCCTGGTTGCTCCTCTTCCAGTCCAGCTCTCTGATGTGGCCCGGGGAAGGCAGTGGAGGATGGCCCAAGTACTTGGGCCCTGCACCTGCATGGGAGACCAGGAGAAGCACCTGGCTCCTGGCTGTAGTGGCCATTTGGAGGGTGAACCAATGGAAAAGGAAGACCTTTCTCTCTGTCTCTCTCTCTCTCTAACTCTGCCTGTCCAAAAAAAAAAAAAAAAAAAAAAAAGACAAATATCATATGTTTTCTCTGATCTGTGGTAGTTAATATGGAATACCAAAAAATGTATAGGAATGAAATGGTCATTTTGGGATTTTTAGCCCTTGGTCTTCCTACTTTTAACTTGTTGCATATTATGATTAGTGGCAAATTAAGCCTGTGAATACAAAGTGGACTAAAATTATGGCTTTGCAAAAACAGATGAAGAGGGGAGGGAGAGGCAGACTGGGGGGAAGAAGGGGAGTGAATGGAGTGTGGTTATCTTCTTGGATCTGAACCTATTGGAATTTGTAATTCTGTTCTTTTTATATTAATAAAAAATTTTTAAAAATAAGCTAAGCTTTCATATTTTCCAGTTTTATTTTCTAAAGTAGCTTTCTATGTATACACTAACTATACATGCTTTGTCTGTGACAGTCTTGATGACAAAGTTTTATCACCAGCTCTTCCTATATTACTTTTATCTAAGCCCTTACATTGTCATTTTAAGAACTCAACACTTTTTATTTAGTGAAGATCTAGGGGGAATTTACATGCCACTCATCTCAGAAGTGAATTCTTAACTTTGGCATTTAGGGAAATACAGACACACAAAAATTATAGATTGAAGTGTACCTCCTTTCTTTTTCTAACAACTTACCAAAACATAACAACAATAATCTGTGGGTGACAGTAATAAAAGCACGTCGAAATCGACACCAAAAAGACATCTGTGGTCTTGTGGATTGTAAAAATTGCACGTCAGTTATATTTGTCAATTCTTCCATGGGGCCATAGCCAACACACCTATTTTAAAATAATTAAGGTTTAGTTTAAAGTCAAAAATCACTTCTTACAGTAAAAAATTTCAAAAGAGGAAATTCTTTACCTTATTCCAACATCTTTTCCATTTTCTAAAATCCACTGTAATGAGGTGTTAAATATATCTTCATATTCAGGACCTAAATCCTAACAAAAAATATAGAGAGAAAATAAGTAACTTACTAGTCTTACGATTTCATATTCATTTGACTCTTTATGTAAGCTGTCCTGTAAATCACACACACTATGTAACATTTTTATTTGAACTATAACAAACTAAAAAAAATTAATTCAGTACACAAAATTAAAGAGGAAAATAAATCATTATTTCACTTGTTCAATATAACCACTGTCAATATTTTGCTTTATTTTTTGTTTTGTATTTCTTATACTACAGATTTGATAAGGTTTTTATTTAATTTTAAGTGCCATTGTGATAAAAGACAATGAACTACTTTTTATAAATGCAGCACTATTTAGATATGAACAAATAAACTAATCAGACTTGGATGTTTCAAAACATTTTCTCAATAAGTAGATATACTGAGTCCATCAACTTAAAAAAATCTTGTATTATTGATGATAAAATTCAAACTCTCAAGTGTAAGGGTATGTGTATTTATTTTTCAAATCAAAACATTAAAAATAAGAGCACCACATTATATATGTTGTTCTTCTAAATGATTTTTTTTCATGAAACAAAGTATTTTGTCAATATCAGGACACAACCCCAATTTCTTCAGCAAACTAGTATTTCACTGTATATTTACTCTTTACTTTAATAAACTGCTTATTAATAAACACTTGGAGTATATCCAATTTCTCTTCCAAACATCCTTAAATTTTTTTTTTATTCAGCAAATATTTCAAGAGTATACTATGTGCCAAATACTGTTTTAGGACTAGAGGTACAGCACAATATGGAACAAACTTTCCTGTACTCAAAGAGCTTACAATCTACTAGAAAGTATGTCTTTATGTACATCATTTTTATAAATCCCATAAAAATTTTCTAAGAGGTAACTTTGTATTTTATCAACAGATTCTTCAACAGCATTGGAAATTACAAAGTTTTCATTTTAGCTGCATAGTTCACTTCCTAATATGAACCTGGAAAGTTAATTTAGTAAATCAAACTGGCAAATATAATTAGAAAAGTTTAACAAACCAAAACTAAACTTTCAGTGTATCATTCCTTATGAGACTACTACCAGGATTTTTAAGATGGTGAAGACAGACATATGCTCTGTTATTTTTTTTAAAGCATGATTGTTTAACACAGCACTTACTAATACAAAAAACACTGCAGACAATGTTATATACTTAATAATTGAGAAATGGTTTATATATGTTCATCTCAGTGTATATTATAAACTTAGAAATAATCATGATGGGAATTTAGCCTCCACATTAAAAAGTATAATTGTATTATTCAATTTTACATATAATTATAAAAGATATATATCAGCAAAAGCTAGAATATTTTGAGGACATCAGCTATTTTTATTTTACTTTAAAATGTTTTGCAATAAAATTATACAAATGAATTTCAGGCAATTACGCTCAAATGTTATAGAGACACTCTAGAAATTATTTTGTGTATGAAAATCAAACAGAATTCATGTCCACTTGTTTTAAGTTAGAGAAACAAGTTCTGAACATATAAAGGACATCAAGAAAACATACTCCTGACTACAATGCATGATTCAGAATTAGATAAAGCACTAACCACACAGAACTTTGAACCTCTACAAAACAAGAATAATATGGGTTATCCTTGGAGCTGAAATATTACTGTTAATTCTTCTTTATAATATTATTCATTAGTATAGGCGTTTAATTAAAAAGGATTCTATATTCATTTAGTTTCTTTTGTGATGCCAGGTAAGTATCATTTAGTTTCTTTCAAAGACTGTATTCATCAAAAATATGGCAATTATAAAACTTATCAAAGACACATGTACTATATAGCACACTTCAAAGATACGTATATTTTTAAAAATTAATGAAATTACTTGTGTTTATACTCATGCTCTTCTACTTGTATTACTGTAATTTGGTTTTATTATTACATGCATTACTATATATAAGACTAGACTGATACAGTATAGATTTCAGAGTCTAGATTATAAACAAGTTTCAAATAATGTAGAAACAAATCCTCATGTTTACTAATTGAAATTTTATATTTAAAAATTATAAGAGGCTGAAGACATCAAAAATAGCATTAATAGTCTCATTAATTATCCTTAAAATGTACATAATGGCTTAAATGAACAAAGATGTTTACTACTCTAATAAACCAGGTATGGAGAGGAACAAAGAGCTTAAAATTTACAATTATAAACCAATAATGGTAAGAAGAGACTATCTGTTATAATTTTCTCTCTTTTTATTTTCCTTTCTCAGGTTAATGCCATTTGACATCCACTCACTGGAAAAACAATATCCTCTAAAAAATTGATAAATTATTTAAAACCTCATTAAAGATTTAATAGGATGCTGAGTGCTTAAATACACTGTTTCACAAATACTCTACACAGTCTATAGAATTCTTCAGTTTGATAAAATGAGAAAAATAAATTATTTGACAGCAAGATACAGAGAGGGAGTTCTTATCTGCTGGTTCACATCCTAAATGTATACAACAGCTGGGGCTGAGTTGGGCCAAAGTAGAGAACCAGAAACTCAATCCAGGTCTCCTATATTGGTGGCAGGAATCCAACTACTTCAGCCATCAACTACTGCTTCCAAGGGTGTGCATCAGCAGTAAGGTGAAATTGGGAGCAGAATTGGAACTCAAACCCAGGCTCTAGGACATGGAATGCAGACATCCCAAATAGCATCCTAACTGCTAGAACAAATATCCACCCTTGGAATTTCTGTAGAAGTAAAAATTGCATTTTTTTCTTGCTTATGCTAACTAAATATTTCATGCTAATACTATAACATATATATCACATACCTGATGTTAAAGAGTTTAAGCTGTTTTATTATTCACTGTTTGTAGCCACCTAGAAACTAATAATAAGGCAGGGGTAGGCCTACTTTTTATTGTAAAGGGCTAGAGAGTAAATATTCTAAGATTTGCAGCCATGTACATTTCTAGTTTTGTTTGTTTTTTAAGCAATTTTTTTTTTTTTTTTGACAGGCAGAGTTAGAGAGAGACAAAGAAAAAGGTCTTCCTTTTTCTGTTGGTTCATCCCCCAAATGGCCACCACGGCCGATCCCAAGCCAGGAGCCAGGCGCTTCTTCCTGGTCTCCCATGCTGGTGCAGGGCCCAAGGACCTGGCCCATCCTCCTGTGCTTTCCCGGGCCACAGCAGAGAGCTGGACTGGAAGAGAAGCAACCAGGACAGAATCCGGCGCCCCGGATGGGACTAGAACCCAGGGTGCCAGCACCACAGGCAGAGGATTAGCCAAGTGAGCTGTGGTGCCGGCCTTTAAGCAACCTCTGAAAATGTAAACCACTTATCAAGCCATATAAAAATAGGGCTATCAATGGCCAATCCTTGAGGCATGGCAACATCATAAAACATTTTCAAATAACTGATGACAAAAATTCAAGTTTTAAAATTTTTAAGACAGATCTATTACTACCATTATTTATTAATATTTACTTCTAGGTCATAGCTCAGTTAACAGATAGCTAGCTGCTTCATATAAATCTTTAAAAGTTCAAAGTATGTTTCCCCAGATCTTAAATCTATTTTAACATGTTATGTGTACACACTGCACATACACACAATCACTTGCCCTCCACATGTACCTTACTTTCAAAATAACTGATCAAAAATGTATATTCTGAAACCCATGTCATTGCCTGGACTTGGACTACAGTTTCAATGTACAAAAATAATGCTGTCTCATGTAAAAGACTCACTTCTTTAAATATACAACCAAACTTTAATTAGGAGAGAATGAGGCTGTGCTGTGGCTCAATAGGCTAATCCTCCGCCTGTGGCGCCGGCATACCGGGTGCTAGCCCTGGTTGGGGTGCCGGATTCTTTCCTGGTTGCCCCTCTTCCAGGCCAGTTCTGGCAGTGGATGATGGCCAAGTGCTTGGGCCCTGCACCCACATGGGAGACCAGGAGAAGCACCTGGCTCCTGCCTTCGGATCAGCACAGTGCGCCAGCCGCAGCGCGCCAGCCACAGCGGGCATTGGAGGGTGAACCAACGGCAAAGGAAGACCTTTCTCTCTGTCTCTCTCACTGTCCACTCTGCCTGTTAAAAAAAAAAAAAAAGGAGAGAATGAATACTGGTATAGGGAGATGACCAACAAATATTAAAAACCTAATGTGAGGGGCTGGTGCTGTTGGTAGTAGACTAAGCCTCCATCTGCGGTGCTGGTATACCATATGGGCACTGGTTCATGTTCCAAACTCCTATCTTCTAATATAATGCTATGCATTTCCTAAATGTTCCACCAGAGGGACCTCTTAACTATTCACAAATCAAAGTAAGCTTTCTTACCAAAAAGACTACAAAGAGCTCAACAGAAGCACTGGGGAGTTAGAAAACCAATGTTTAAGTTATTTAAATGAATTACGTTTATTTAAACTTCCTCTGAAGGAGGAAATGGGACAAATATTCATAAAACCAGAATAAAATATTTTAAATCAGAATCAAGAAAACAAAACATCTCACTGAGGTTCATTCACTCATTTAATGCCACCAAACATTTACTTAAACTTATTGTACTTTAAATGTACTAGAAATTAGGGCTAAATTACAATATACCTGTAGAAATTAAATGCCTTCTTGGGATCATTTATTTATAATTCCAAAAATGTAGCTGTCTTGGTGGAATCACAGTAAAAATACATGGAATATACATTAGATCAATCTCTATCAACAGAACACCTACAATATGCATAATATTATCAATGTTTGATATCACAATTTTTTACAAATACCTTAACATTTTATTTCAAAATTGTCTTCATGTATAGACATCATTAAAAAATACACATAGACTACAGATTTTCCATGGAATAGAAGCTGGAAATAAAATTTAAGGGCAATTAGGAGAATTGTTATCACTTTTGTACTGAGGTTTTTCCATGTCTATCCTAGCTAGAACACTGATAAAATGAAATAGCCAGTTTTGGCTTAAGCAACTATGATAAAATTTGTCACTCCAAATTAGGAAGTAATCTGGCAGCTTGTAAAAAAAAAAAAAAGTTTGGGCCCAGCACTACAGCATAGCAGGTTAAGCTGCTCTCTGCAGTGCAGGCATGCCGTATAGGCTATGGTTTGAGTCCCAAGTGCTCCAATTCCAATCCAGCTCTCTGCTATAGCCTGGGAAAGCAGTAGAAGATTGCCCAAGTTCTTCCGCACCTGCACCCACGTGGCAGACACAGAAGAAGCTCCTGGCTCCTGGCTTCGGATTGGCATGACTCTGACCGTTGTGGCCAATTGGGGAGTGAATCAGCGGATGGAAGACCTTTCTCTCTCTCTCTGCCTCTCCTCTCTCTGTGTAACTTTGACTTTCAAATAAATAAATCTTTATTTAAAAAAAAGTAGATTCCAGAGCAAAAAATATTTACCAGGAGTGAAGATTTTCATAATAAAGGGATCAAAATATCAAGAGAATTTAACAACTATAAATGTACCTAAAAGCAGGACTTCAAATTACATGACACAAAAGCTGACAGAACTGCAAGAAGAAATAGACAAATCTGCAATTGTAATTATAAATTATAGACTTCAATACCCCTGCACCCGCGTGGGAGACCCAGAGAAAGTTCCTGGCTCCTGGCTTTGGATTGATGCAACTCTGACTGTTGTGGCCACTTGTGGAGTGAAACCAGTGGATGGAAGACTGCTCTCTCTGCCTCTCCTTCTCTCTATGTGTAACTCTTTCAAATAAATAAATGAATCTTAAAACAAAAACAGTATTTAGAGGCCTGTATTGTGAGGTAGCAGGTAAAGCTACTGTCTGTCATACTGGCATCACATATAGGTGCTGGTTTAAGTCCCAGCTGTTCTACTTCCTATCCAGTTCCCTCTTTATGTGCCTGAGATACAGCAGAAGATGGCTCTAGTGGCTGGGCCCCTGCTACCCACATAGAAGACCCAGAAAGAAGCACCTGGCTCAAGGCTTGGGACCAGCCCAACTCAGGCCATTGTGGCCATTTGGGGGGTGAACCAGCAAATGGAAGATCTCCTCCTCTCTCTCTCAATTCTGCCCTTCAAATAAATAAAATAAAATCTTTTTAAAAGTACTATTTAAAATGTTTTATCTACACCATAAAACTTTAATTTTGGGGGGGAGGGAAGTTATGTTCAGTGCTTTTTTTTTTTTTAGTGGCAGTCCAAAATATATCCATGGCATTGACAAGCTGTAGCAGGTTAACAATATTAAAAAACTTAAAGTGGGGGTTTCAAAAAGAAGAGTTCAACATACATAAATCCAAATGTGTAAGAAGAGTATTAGCATTTTACATAAAATACCTTCATTTAAATATTAAGAAATGTAATTCTTGTAAAAACAAAACTTCTATTAAACTGAAAAGAACGTAAAATCCCATCTGAAACATAAAATAATTCTAGAGAATAGATAAGAAAGTCTCTTAAAGACTGGTGAGCTAATATCTTTAAAAAAATTTTAGCTATAAAGTAGTTTCAAACTCAACTTATGTATGGGAGTTTCCAGTAACTTCTTGCTGCTAGTCTTTAGTAGAATTCATCTCTGCACCCTACTACTACCTGGCTTAGAACCCCAACTTGTCTCAAGCCTGGGTCCTAGTGCCTTCTTTTTATCATGCCTCATTGCTCCATAGCTGCAATCAAATGGTTAGAAAAGAAAGAGAATAAATTAACTACTAGTCATCCCTATCTTTTATCCCAGTCCTATCATGTTTCTTCAGAAGTTCAAATATAGCACCTCAGTAGATAAGGTTCTCAGGGTTTTTCTGAAAAATAAGTGAATCTTGTTCCAGGACTTTATGACCAACTATAATCTATATCTACGTCATTATGTCTCTAAGATATTTAGCTGGATAAAGAGAAAGCAAAGGAAGCACTGGATTGGATCAGACTTTCCTGCTGCTAGAAGCAAAACCATTTTCAGTTATTTCATAAGGAACTATTTGCTTGTTTTGGATTTCCCACAGGCTAGGTATGCCCTTCTTCCAAGAATATTTTATTCCTCTTTATGCCACCCTTCTTTGTTCCCACCCTACAATTCTTAACACTGAGCCTTATAAACATAATCCCTCCTTAGTCAAGATCATTTAGGGTCTTGATTATTTATCCCATCTATTAGTTAATACACAATCCACAAATTTGAATCCCACAAACATTCTCATCCAGGTTGAAATTGAAAAAAGATAACAAGGTTGAGAAATAAAGCTTGAAGAATGTTATTAGAGCTCTCTATGCACAGCTGCATTGATTTAATTAATTAGAGAATGCAGAAAGGGGTGAACTTGCTCTGGAAGCTATTGTAATCATCAGGTTCTAAATGTACGTGTGTGTGTGTGTGTGTGTGTGTGTATAAGTGAATAATCAAATCTCTCAGTAACTTTGACAATAACTTTTTAAATAGTGTCACTTTCACAAACAGAAACAGGTTCAGAAAAGTTTAGAGACTTTACCTAGATGGCACAGCTTCTACATGATAGTGCCAGAACCTAAATTCAGGTCTAATCTCCATTATATTTTATCATCTTAGCATCTTGTTTGGTATCTCATATAAGTCATGCATTATGTTAAAAACTCAATGCACTTTCTCTGTTTCCAAACCTAACTGATGGCTCTAGAACATATATTACATGCTTAATTTTTAAAAAGGAGAGGAGTGACGTCAGCAAGATGGCAGAATAGGAAGCCTCCACCCACCTTAGAAACACTGATTCCAAAAATACATGGACCAATCCCATTTGTTAGCAATCAGTTAAGTGCAAACCATTCAAACACAAACCAGCTGTATCAAAGCTGATAGGAAAAGTCAGTTGCACTCACTTGCCTGATAGCCCCACCACTCCATAATTTAGTGCAATCAGGAGGAAGCTCTCAACTCTTGGCTTCTCCTTGGGGAGACATCTACTCTTCACACTTAGGTAGGAGTGGGAAATCAAGGGGCAGCAGGCGTTAGCAGAGTAAATGGTTTCTGTTTTGCTGAATCTAACTACTGACAAGATAGAGTACCTAGTTTGAGGCTTTTCAGTACAAAAATCAACAGTTTGAACCATATGCTTACTGTTGTCCCTCCCTCCACCCAAAGCTTAGCAGAAAGAGGGAGAAAATCCCCAATCTCTGGCTTCTCTCTGGAGAGGAAGAGTTGGAGGATGTAGCCAATCTAGGATCCAGCAAACCTGATGTCTGGGAGCCACTAAGAACCAAAAAACCTAGATGGCTTATGGCAACTCCAGAGACCCTGCAGTAATGCAGACATCACAAGGAATAAAAGATTAAGCGTTCTTGGAAAAATAAAGCCAACATGACCTCTCCAACTGGGAGCTTAAAGACACAAATGCAGGGGAGACACAACCACAAAAAGCTTTGAGAAGACCGCAGGATTTCTCTAAGCAGGGCTATCGGGGAAGGTCTGTAAAGATTGGGAGAAGTGGCTGTTTTTTCCAATATATGAATTCCAGCACAACATACCAGGGCACATGGGAAAAACAAGGAAACATGGCCCAAAGGAACAAAATAAACCTCCAAGAATCTACCCAAAGAAATGGAGGTATGAGAATTACCTGACAAAGAATTTCTTTTAAAAAACTACCATAAAGTTACTCAATGAGATCAGAAAAACAATGCGTGAACCAAGAGAAACTAGAGACAGAAATGTGAAATACTGAAATTAGTATGCTACATAAAACATCTAAATATTAAAAAAGAAACACAGGCCGGTGCCGCAGCTCAATAGGCTAATCCTCTGCCTGCGGCACCGGCACACCGGGTTCTAGTCCTGGTCGGGGCGCCGGATTCTGTCCCGGTTGCCCCTCTTCCAGTCCAGCTCTCTGCTGTGGCCCGGGAAGGCAGTGGAGGATGGCCCAAGTGCTTGGGCCCTGCACCCGCATGGGAGACCAGGAGAAGTACCTGGCTCCTGGCTTTGGATCAGCGCGGTGCGCCAGCCGCAGCAACCACTGGGGGGGTGAACCAACAGAAAAGGCAGACCTTTCTCTCTCTCTCTCTCTCTCACTGCCCACTCTGCCTGTCCAAAAAAAAAAAAAAACAAAAACAAAACAAAAAAAAAAAAAAACATATTTTGGAGCTGAAGAGTAACTAAATTGAAAATTTCATCAGAGGAGTTCAAGAGTAGACTTGATCCAGCAGGAAGAATTAGCAAATGTGAAGATAAGTCATCTGAAATTAAACAAGCAAAAACAAAAAACAATGAGGAATGAAGAAAAGGCCTAAGGGACTTAAAGAATGCCATCAAAGCACACCACTACACATTGTAAAAGCACTGTGTAAATCACTTTTAACTGTGGAATGCAATTTAAGAGACAAAATAAAAAAATTATAAAAATATATTCCTGGAATCAAAATACAAAAATATGTAATCTGTGACATCCAAACATAAAGATGAGGAAGACAGAAAAGAGTAAGGATTTTCTATACAACTGAAGTTAAGGAGTTAGCTTAAAATACGGTGACTATAAAAAATTTTATATATGTTCCACAGTAAACACAAAGTAGTAATTCTCCAATCAAAACACAGTGAATGACTGAATGAACTTTAAAAAAATAATGCAAATATTTCTGTGTACAAGAAACTCACTTTGGATTTAAGGACACACACGAGTTAGAAATGAAAGAATAGAAAAAGATATTCCAAGCAACTAGTAACTAAGTATGAATATGAGTAGCCAAACTTAGACAAAACAGACTTAGTAAAAAACTGCCACATGAGACAAGGAAAGAAGGATATTAGACAGTGACAAAAAGGATAATTTACCTGGAAGATACAACTATAAATATGTATGTACCCCACCCTTATCAGAGCACTCAGTATGAAAGAAGCAATGACAGAACTAAACAACAACACAGTAATACAGCTAAAGCAGTAAAAAGAAGGAATTTTAGATTGCAAAAAGCAAATATTAAAAAAGATCTCAAATAAACAACTTAATTTGCAATGTTAATGAATAGAACAAAACTCAAAGCATAAATAAAAAATAATAAAGATAACAGCAGAAATCTTGACAAATTCTCCCAAAAAATTTAGAGGGAACATTTTCTAACTTCTTTTATGAAATCAGCCTTACCCTGATACCAAGGCTAGACAAAGATGCAAGAAAATTATAGACTCTAACTCTCAATAAACTCAAAAATCCTCAATAAAATAATAGCAAACTGAATTTAACTGTACACTAAAAGTATTGTATATTGGGGTTGGCATTGTGGTACAGCTGGTGAAGCCAGCCATCTCACAGGAGTGCAGGTTCAAGTCCCAGCTGCTCTATTGTTGACCCAGCACCCTGCTAATGTATCCAGGAAAGCAGCAGAGGATGGCCCAAGTACTTGGGCCCCTGCCACTCATGTGGGAGTCCAACCTGGCCATTTAGGGAATGAATCAATTGATGTAAAATGGATCTCTCTCTTCTCTGTAACTGTATTTCAAATAAACCTTAAAAAAATTAAGGATCATACATCAAGAACCTGGGATGTGACAACTGTTCAATATACAAAAAGCAATCTGTAAGTATACAACACTAACGTAACAAAGGGTAAAAATCACATGATCATCTCAGAAGACACAGACAAGGCATTTGACAAAAATTCAACAAGCTCTCGGGTAGAGGGAAATTACTCTATCAAGCTAAAGGTCATATATAAAAAGCCCTCAGCTAACATCACACTCAGTGGTGAAGAATTCAAAGTTTTTCCTCTCATATGAGGAAGCAGCGAAGGATGCCTGCTCATTATCACTTCTACATAAAATACTAATACAAGTCAGGCCAGACCAACTTAGCAAGAAATGAAGGTATCCAAATCAGAAGAAGTAAATTTATCTCTTTTGCAGATGACATCTTATATGCAGAAAATTCTTTAGATACCACAAAACCTATTAGCATAAATGAATTTGGCAAATTTGTGGGATAAATCACATACAACAAAAAGCAACAGAATATTCAGGAAAAAATTAGTCAAGGAGCCGAAAGACTTCTACACTGAAAACTATAAACACTGCAGAGAGACATTATAGAACATACAGATAAATAGACTG